AATGCAATAATTTCTACATTGTTTCATTAATTATTACCATTCATTCTTTATATGTTTCAGAAATGCATGTAAAAGAAATAAAAAAAGCAGTCCTATATTCTAATATAAATATGTAAAAATTTTATAGAAATAAAAACACACAAACATATTGTTTATAAAATTGCTTTAAAAAGAACATATTAAAATTAAAATTGCTTATTTTATACATTTTGATAAAAAATTTCATATAATTATATTAAAATTAGAATTGTACTCTTATTTTTCTTATGTATATGCAGCAATTTTTCACGATTAAGCTGAAGTAATTATTAAAATTTACGACAATAAAAATAATATAGAAACAAATTACCCAAATAAAAAATAAATATCAAAATCAATTTTCAAAATAATGCACCTTATTTCTGATTTTTATAATTATATAAACATTTGTATTATTGCAAATATTAATAAGCCAATAGTTGTATTTTTTTCTTGAAAAGAGATACTTAAATTGAAAAATACATTTACTGTGTGCATTTAATAAATTAGACCAAATAAATGAACAGCTGCATACAATTTAACATAATACAATTTTTATTATTAATTATTATTTATTATGAAATAATCAATTTGTCACAAAATAACATTTTTAAGTATCTCTCATATAATCAAAATTTTTTCAAAAGCGATATAAATTTCAACAAACGAGCATAAAATATCTACATTGGCATATGACAATATTTTACCGACAGATACCATCTATAAAGTTTATCGACTTATATTTATCCCGATTATAAATAGATAATTGCAATTCTTATCATTCAAGATTATTTTAACTAAATAGTTTTTATTATGATCACAGCAGCCGCAGAGGCGCTAGCATATGGTAAATTTTTTTATACTATACAAATACGAATAAGACCCGTTACGGGTTCTCATAAGATTAACCTTTAATCTCATATCTTTATGCAATGTTATTTCATCAATGATGAAATATTACAAATAACATATACATACTTGGCAATGATCGTGCAAAAAAATAACGTGAAATATGCGGAGAAGACCTGGCTCAGCTCCGGGCACACAGAGGCAGAATCACCGAAATCGCATAATTGGCGTTACAGTGTATATCAACGATTGCATGCGATGTTTCATATGTATAACAAACTTTCGATACTTTACGAGACACTCGCGATTACTGTTCGTGCACGCGATTTATTTCTAACACTACAATCACGAGAACTACGGACCGATTCGAATTTATCGCGACGTACACTCCACCATAACTGACCTCGATGAACAAGACGTTTCGAGAATCGCAATTGCACCTTTTCAAACTATGAATGTATCGATTGTGAATGTATCGATACAATCGAAGTAGCGATTAATCGCTACACTTTCTATACCTTGCGTCTCTCTCGCTCTTTCTTCTTCCACAGTGGTACATTCGTATCTTATTTCAAGTGCAAAAATGTAAGAAAGTGCTGAGTTTAGGAATTTCTAGGTATCTCACTGAGGAAAGAAAATTGTAATCGCGACGCGCATGCGTTGTCTCGATTTGCATAATCATGCTCGCACGGTACTAACTAATGTTTCAATCTCTGGTCGCGCCAATGCACGCGTATGCATCTGTGTGATTATGTGAGGTATATATGTTGTGAAACATATTTAAAGTAACTTGCCGCCAATGTCGTACTACGACAGTGAAACGTGCGAGCTAAGTGCTACGGCGACCGATACAATATATCTCTCCCTCTCTTTTCCTCTTTCACGTTACTGAATTAACAAGTCAATGCATTATTTAAAAAACAGAGGAATACGTTAACGCTACCTGAAATCGAGAAGCAACGTCTTATCAGCAGCATTTCATCTCTCTCTTTCCTACTCGGTGATCTATCGCGCGCGTTTCCCATTGAATTTGACTCTTTCTCTCTCTTTCTTCACTCCCTCCTCCTGTTGCTTCAGTTCAGAGCAAAGTCTCGATCGTCAAGATCAACACAATTCTTGCAGCTCGTTCTCCACGACACACGTTACGATAATACACACGGATTAATCCAGTGCAACGAAACAATACCGAGGTAATTGTTAATTGTTGTTTTTATGCAGATCGCGTGACGCAACAAATTCGACAAACTAACGACAAAGTATGGCCTGCTAATGCCAAACTTCACTCAATGATATATCATTTTTTAAGAAAGTACCTAGTTCGGGCTATCAAAAAAAGGTTGCCTTCTTGTCATTTAAATAATTCCGTCGTAAAATCAACAGACTTCACCATTGTTTGATTATAACATTTAAAAAATTACTCCATATAATTCTTATAGCTTCTGTATATAGTTTTTTTCTTGTATTCAGTATATCTAAAATATTTATCTGTCTTATTAGATAAAAAAATGTAATTTATGATGTGATAATGTCTTATATATGCACTGTTTGACTTAATATCAGACTTCATGTATGCTTAATTTCTAATGCGAATAATGTATTATGCAAGCAGAGAGTACAATAAAAAGATTAAAGTAACTAATATTTTGTGTATTTGTAGGAAGTTAATAGCGATATAAAAAAAATGGCATTTCGAGAATTAGTGGAAGGGGACTGTGGAGGACCCAGTTCATTGATACGTCTCACGTCACACTATGTGCAAGACCATGGCTTCAAAGAGGAAGGAATTCATCGACCGTTTGACCCACCAGAGACTTTTCAAACGCCAAATGCAGATCAGTTAGTTCAAGAATTCTTAGATGAACCTGCTTGTCCACAGACATTTCGAATGGACAATTTGTTGCAAGAAATGAGAGAGATTGATCAAAATATCCATCCTCCGATAGCAGCACCTGGAATTGTTAAAGAATTGAGTCACTTAGACACAGCTTGGGAAAGTCTGTGCCTTAATGATCCTAAACAGTTTGAGGTAATTTTATATTAAACATTTCTTATTATTAGTTATATTTATTTCTTATATTAAAAATGTTTAATTATTGAATCAAAATATAGGGACTTCATGCAGAGAATACATGGAATACACCAATAGTAAGATCTGCTCAAGAAGAAAACAAACATTTTCCTGATACTCATGAACTTGGTCTAGATCCGAAATGGGCGGAGGAGTATTTAGAACATAGCATAGTTGCCATACAAAACGATGATAAAGGTGATACTCAAACTACGAAAGATGATGAAGATCCAAACTTTGCTTATTCAAAGTTTATGAAGTTTATGAAACAAGAAGGTGACATTCCATTAGAAAGTAATCAACTAGCTAATCTAGATGGTGGAATTGAAGAATGGATAGAACAGTATACAGATCACCAGAAAACAAATGCAGCTGATAACAGTAAAGATGATAATACAATTTTGAACAAAGTAGAAGAGGAATTAGAAGTTGCAGGTTCATGGATAGACGAATTTGTAAAGGAAAATCCTTCTGCAGGTATTTTAGCTTTTTTTAAAAAAATAAATATTTTATTTGTATTTACAATGTATCATATAATATATATTAACTCAAATGTGATTTAATATGTGATTTTAGAAGGTAATTTAGACTCGTTATGGAAGCGATTCCAAGATGAATGGGACAAAGTATCTGCAGATGGACTCTCTTCGGCACACCCATGGATATCAGAGTTTGACACATATTATGATCCATTTAATAAGGAATATGAATTTTCTGAGACAAATCCTATGAAGGATTTGCCAAATGCACTAGAAGAAGGCAAGAGACGATTGAATGCAGGAGATTTACCAAGTGCTGTGCTCTGTTTTGAAGCAGCAGCTCAACAGGATGAAAATAATGCCGAAGCTTGGCTACTTCTTGGCAAAACACAGGCTGAGAATGAGCAAGATCCTTTAGCAATTTCTGCTTTAAATCGTTGTTTGTGCTTGGATCCGTCCAACGGTATTGCTCTCATGGCGTTAGCAGCTTCTTACGCGAATGAATCTTACCAGAAACAAGCCTGCTTAACATTAAAGGAATGGTTACTAAAGAATGAAAAATATAAACACTTATTAGCTCCAGAATCTAATCGTACAAAAGATGTACACTCAAATTTCAGTGTCTCCACTTTATTATATGAGTAAGTTAAGAATAATTTTTAATGCTGGGCAACTTTTTCAACATATTTTGTTGTAGCAAAGTATATGATGAAGTCAAAGATCTATATATTCAAGCTGCGAGATTGAATCCTCGGGAAGAAATTGATGCAGACGTACAGTGTGGACTAGGTATATTGTTTAATTTGTCAAGCGAGTACGATAAAGCTGTAGATTGTTTCCAAGCAGCATTACAAGTGCGGCCTGATGTAAGTGCAAGCTATATTTTAATGAATTGGACTAGGACATACATTTAAATATTTGTTTTTTAAAAGGATTCCAGATTATGGAACAGATTAGGCGCTACTCTAGCTAATGGTCAACGATCGGCGGAAGCTGTAAACGCATACCATCGTGCCTTAGAATTATCGCCTGGATTTATTAGAGCACGTTACAATCTCGGCATATCTTGCGTTAATCTTGGGGCGTATAAGTGAGTGTAGATTTGTATATAATTCTTAACTTACAAAAATAATACCAATATCATATATTAATATAATTGTATGGTCTTATAGAGAAGCAGGTGAGCATCTTTTGACAGCTTTGAATCAGCAAGCGGCAGGAAAAGGCCTACAGTCCACAAATGTATCTCCTAAAGCAATGTCAAACACAATATGGTCTACATTGAGATTAGTTATATCGTTAATGCATAAATATGAATTGATGGAAGCTATAGAAAACAGGTAACATCTTTTACAACAAATATAAATTACTAAGAACGCTTTATCTTAATAACATTCATATTTAAGACACGTATAATTTTTCATCTTTCAGAGATTTACCAAGGTTAAACAAAGAATTTGAAATTATGTAATTGGACGCAAATATATCTCAAGAATCGTACAATGATTCATTCTTATATAGATTATTTGGGGTACAGGTAATCAACAAAAAAAAAGAAACTTTTTTCCTAATATATTCTAGCAGAATATAGTCAGTAAAAATAAGTTCTAGAATATTTTGGATAATTATAAAAAAAATCTATATATATATATATATATATATATATATATATATATATATATATATATATATATATATATATATATATATATATATATATATATATAGATATATACAGGATGTTATCAAATTATTACACTTTCTTTCACATATATTAATTCTTAAATTACTTCCAAATAACTGCTATTTTTTTCTTTAATTTAACTTCTAAAACAGTTGAAAGAAAATACCATAAACTACTATAATTTTATATGTAATATCCTGCATATATAAGAAATATAAAGTTGGGAAAAATAGCTTATTTATTATTTTGATATTATTAAATATGACTTATGAACATTTAATACAAACGTATATATAAAAGATTTTGGAAAAATTTATTATCAGCTATAAAAATTTGTTAATATTTTCACATTTAACCGTTATTAATATTTCACTTATGTTCAATTTCCTGTTTTTGTTTCTATAAACATAAAACAGGCATAACCTTTGTATATTAAATCTGTTGCAAAATTGTTGAAACGTTATATTTATTTTTATTCAAATTGCTCAAATTTAGAATCTTGCTGTTATTGAGATTTTAGATGTTTTTTTATCACATATACAAATTTTTGATGCTTATTATAAATTTTATGTGCATGTCAGATATTATTGTAACTTTAATAAAAATTTGAAGACTTGGATTTTTTAAATAATTTCAGTAGAATGATTATTAATTACCATATGCGAAAAAATGAGGTATAGAATAAATACAAAGAAACAACTGTTGGATATTATGTATGTATTAATCTTATAATGAATTATAAATATTATTGATCAATTTTAACATAATTAGATTTACAATAAAGAGAAATCATTCCTAAAGGCACATCAAAGTTACACGTTTTGTAACACTTAAAAATCGGTTACATAAAACTACTCGATACGAGAGATCAACAGATTTGATAAAAACTATTTTAGTAAAATTCACTTCACTAAAAACATATCTTCTGTTCCAGAGCGCATTTTAATATCTGATAGTAAATCTTGGTATATTTTTGTGTAGCATTTAAAGATTTGTGTAACTTCTAAATGTAATTAATTGCAAATATTTGTGTAAAAGTGATGTTGCGTTTCTAGCTTCTATATATGGGAAGTGCCGTATGTCATTTTATATAAACTTTTTTGTGTTTAAGTTATTGTATGACATTTGCTCTGTGACAGATTTTACATTTTTAGTGTCATAATATAATATATCTATATAGAACAATTCAACAAGTTAATTATAGATTAAATTCTTCCTATAGTATTTGTCTCAGAATTTCTTTTATAATTGATGAAAGTTATCTATCGTTAAAAATGCGTGCAACACAACTATTATCTAACGAACATCGGCTTATGTGACTGCATTGATCAGGAACATATGTCTGAAATGTTTGTAGAAATGGTTAATCTGCGAATACAAGTGCGCGAAATTCTTTCGCAACGTTGATAGTAAAACGTGATATTGGAATTTATATTCGTAATTCCTGAATTATCATTTCTTCGTCTAAAAATTAGCTAATGAATGATATTCAATGGAAACCTATCTTCACAACTTTAGAGTCGTCAAAAGTTGTTGTCCGGTTTCCATTATCAATGATTTCACATGATCCGCGTGCATAATTTGATTGCACATTTCGGTGCATCTTTGAAATGCTGCCATGTCATCTCTTGGCAAGATGCGATGCAGACTCTTCATAGGCAATGCATGCGGCAGATAATTCAGGATCTCTATAAATTTTAAAAATAGATTATTTTATTATATTACATTCTGTTTATTTGTTATCGTCAACGTACCTTTCATCATTTGCGTGTACAAGAGTTGCAATTCCTGTTGTGTCGTCGAGGCGACTATTTTATCCCGCGTTAATTCAATGAGATACTTCCATTCGGTATCCTTTGTATACTTATCCTGAAACATAAAACAGAGAGTAAGATACACTTGCACAATTGCATGTATTTGAAAAAAAAAATCCAGTATCACGTATTACTTTAATATTAAAAGTACCTTTGCATACTGTACTACAGCCTGTGGGCAATTATCCATAAGAATCGTTGTTACTTCCTCCGTATTCTGGATGCATAACGTCTTGAGAGATAAGCTTCCATCGATGTTTTGCGAATCGAGAAATTGCTTGACCTCATGCGAACATTCGACCGGCAGAAATTCGCACGACAATACGGACTGCAACTTAAACAATTCTGTAGGTATAATTTTTTCAGTTTCATTATTAAAATTCGCTAAATCCTTAAAGTCATTCATATTTAACATTTTTTGGTAATCTTTGGCGTACGGTGGCATTTTGCTCAAATAATTCGGTCGATATTTAGCAAACATGAAATACTCCTTGTCATTTTCCTCCTGATTTTCTTTTGTTTCAGTTTTATACACTCTTGTTTGAGTTAACTTGCCGAGGTACGATCGCACTAACAATTTGAATGCTTCAACGAGAGCGAAGTCCGAGCGTATTTGATTTTTGTTCACGATCGGTGGCCACTCCGTCATGGATTTCGAGCTGAGATAATTATGCAGATATTTCTCGAGAAAGATTTGTAACGTAGCGGCTACGTTGTATCCATCTCTTCCGACCCGTGATGGCAAATATTCTAGGAACACCTGTATGATTTGGTGCAGCGACAGCGTACCTTCATCTTCTATTAATTGTATCAGGATCTCCGCAAACGTAGTGTTTTTTATAAACATCAAGGTTCCGGCGAAGTCTGAGAAGGTAGGTATCATAGGACTTCTTTTTTTCATCGCTGTTACATCAAACAGCAATTCCCAACGTTCCATAACAATCTGCTTAATACATTGCATGGAAACTGGTTCTAGCGCTTTCTCCGCTTGTTCCTGCTTGTCGGCTTGAATGTACAAAAGTGCTAAGGCGAGTTTGACGGTGTCATCGGTCTCGTGCGTTAGCAGAAGATTTATCAACTTTTCAGTGGCATACTCTCTCAGTACTGGACTGCCGAAGATCAGCTTTAACAGATCTTCTTTCTCCAGCTTGCAAATGATCTCTATGATGTTATATCCTTGAAACAGCGCGTCTGCTTCTGAGCCACTCTTCATGGTGAGAAGCGCATCCGTCAAGAACGTTAGAAGTCCCGGTGCGTCTTGACTGCATTTTCTGGACAACACTTCCGAAGGCTTCAATCCGGACATCTTGTAGTATGGAATACACAACTCCCAATCCGATTCGATATCTGATCTTATGTAGTAATCGGCGAGCAGCGCGCAAGATTGATTGTAGAGGTTTTTCAACTTGAGATCGTTCTTATGCGTCGCATCGTCAAATTCCTCGTTGTCCGGACTTTTATAAGACACATCCTTCGCCAAGCGTATTAAGGCATGCGCTTCTCCCAGCATATGTCGATAAGTGCTCGGACTAGAGGATTTATGATTCTTTGCTGCATTTAAAATATCGAAATATACGTTCTCGAGCTTAGGTAAATTCAAAGAATACATGGTCCAAGAACTATCAGCCTTAGCCAGCAGAACTATATAGTTTCTTGTGTACAATAGTTTTTGTATTCCCAGGAACGGTTTCAAACCGATTAGACTTACCGGTTCGGTAACACTGGGGCAAGTTGCTCTAACGCTGTCTATACAGTTTGACAGTTTTGCAATATGATGAGAAAGACGTAATGTATAAGATTCGAGACCGGCCTCAGTCAATGCATGAAGTATCGTGTGTTCCAATGCCACGTGATGAATAGGTGCAGTGAACGGATAAGTAGTCAGACACGTCGCATCTAAAGAACTATTGTTTGCCGCTGAAAAATGATAGAGATATCCTTCCTGCGTGGTACAAACAAAGCAACTTATACCTTGTAAGTATCTATATCTGTCAGATCTCAACATAGACTTTTTCACACCAATGATGTTACATTCTTTCTTCATGTACAATGGTTTCAATACTAAACACTTGAAAACCTCCATAATTCCATCCATCTTGGTATTACTGTTACCAGTGTTAATTTTTAAACATAATAAATTCTTTATCGTATAATTTTCAGACCAGCCTTCGTCCGGCGAGGTTGTTTTGATGAAGATTCTTATGTCTGCTGAATTTAGTACAAAAGGGCTTAGAGTGTGACCCGGACTAGCTCTTTCCAAACTTATCGATGGCAGACTCACTGTCAATGATTGAGAAGCGGGATCAATAATTCCTTGTGTAATTAGTCTTTGCATCTCATCTTTCTCATTGCATATCAAATATTCCCAGTCTATATAATTCTTATTACTACTTAGCTTTCCTCTATGAAAATCGCCTATTTCTAACTTACACCATGTATTTCCTTTCACACCTTTGTGTTTTTTATCTTTAGATTTTCCATGAATTACCACTGTCTCATTATTTTCAGATGTCATGTATTGGCAATCTTGTTCTACAGTTTTGTGCTTTGTATTTACCCCTTGCACATCATCATTTCCAAGGCTATTGCTATTTTCTACGAGAGATGAATCTGTGGATATGGATGTCTTATCAACAGAAGAAGAATTTGTAGAAGTTAAAGAGCTAAGTTGGTCAATATCCTCATACATTGAATTAGTGAGACGAAAAACAGATAAATTTGTGCTATCCATGATTGCTATAAAATCCTCCACGATTTCTATGTGCGTAGGTGTAAATGTAAATCCTAAGGACCATGGTCTAGGTTCAAAGTCTATAAACTTCATCTTCGATACTTGTTGCGTTTCGACCTTGAATTCGTGTAGAATGGCACTGTTTCCCGAGGCTACCAATAAGTTTCCAGTGCTCTGACAGCAAGCGATTAAGGTGGGTTGTATGCTCAGAGGTAATTCTATCATTTCTAAGCTGTTCAGGGGTCGATTTAAACTGGGTGTAACACGCCCGGCAATTCTGGCCCGCATCGGTTGACTCTGGTCCTTCACCATAGCCCAATTTACATAAATCCTTACAAAATTAGAACTGACTCTATTCGCATGATTATTGCTCGTAGTGTCTCTGAGATATTTTGATTCCAGTGTCACGACGTAATCTCCCTTGATGCAATGTACCATTTGATTGATCATATCCACTGTGGGGAAGACAGTGCGCAGTTTGACATCCGAATTCATTAGATCCCACACCTCCACGCAGTGTGTGGACAGTGCCAGTAGTAGCATCTCTCGACCCTGGCTAGTGGCTGTACATGTTGCCACAGGCTCCTCGATCTGGCTGACATTCTGCCCCAGGAAATTATGAACTGTTATTACTCGAACCATATCTGTATCTTGATTTTATTGCTTATGTAACATAACAAGCATTATAGCTATGCTTTGGTTTTCGTTGGAATGCTTTTGCTTCGTTGACAGTTACATATAAGCGTCATAATGGAGCATTCAAGTCGATGTTTGCGAGTGTATGCTTGATACAATACAGTTGCAGCACAGTATAGATGTTGTATTAATAAAATATGAGTCAGCGTACAGAATCGACGCAATTCACGGGAAAGTGCCAGTCGTACAGGTACTCCACGAAGCCTCGAACCGGCGAAATTTTAAGTACGTTCATTGACATTCCGTCAATCGTTGCGATTTGCGTAAATATAATGCGATGCACTGCGGATGCGATAAAATAATTGTAGCAAACTGCGTCGATGAACGCGATTGCGCCATTCGTACAGCGCGTTTTAATCGACCGGCGTCATTTTCGAGATGCGTTTTATCCGGTAAAAATAGTTATCTGATGCGCGGAAGGAAAAGACATGGATGCACTCGGTCTGCTTGATATTGTCAGGCGTAGTGCGCTTGCGCATGATTTACATATTAAGCTGGGTTGACGATGGATCAGGATCAGATCAGCTTTCGACGAATATGCGATATATGTTTATTATAAGAGTAGTTCCAGGTAAATGCAGTTGAATCAGAGTGCAGGGCGCCGTTCGTTAAGTGCTCAATATAACAAATGCAAAATTATATATAATTTTACATATAATCAAATGCTGAAATAAAAAGAATATAATCTTTGAAGAATTAAATCTTAGAATTAAATATATAATAAGTCAGTCACAACACAACACACACAATAAAAAAGAAACAAAAAGATGAAATTTATGCAATGCTAGCTATTTTTAATTTATATTATAATTGCAATATACATATATGCATTTGTGAATGCTCTTTAATATTTAATTTCTTTAGCTTGATCTCTAATTTAACATTATTAAAATAATTTTCTGCTTCAAAAATATTTACAACACGTTTGCTTATCATATTTTCTATATTTATTACACGTAAATATTCTCATAACAGTAAAACTGATATATGTTTATGGTATAAAAAATTAATTAGCATTATTCAAAATTAAATAAGTATATATGTATAATCAGGCAGCACTGTAAAAAGAAAGTGCATCACTTGCAAAAAAAGGCGTGCTACGCCAATGTTCGAATGTCCCTGTAGTGCCACGCAGTCATACGAGACAGATCAGCAGACTTGATACTGTGCAGGTAACAATAAGTGTGCGGAAAAATAGCATTGTGCTATCTAACTGTTGATCATTTTAAGTCACGTATAAAATAATAATAGAAATAGAAAATTTGTTATTTTGATATTGTAATTCTGTTTATTCTGTATATTCCAGGTGCAATATGTTGATTAGTCTAAAGTGATTAAGAAAGATTAGATTTCGTTATATCGTATTAGTGATATTAATACTAAGAAGTATCACCAAGTGTGTGAGCGGAATACGCCCAAGAAACGCCTCTATTGCGATAAGAGCAGTCGGTTTTAGCAATCGGCAATTGTAGCAGTGTTACGCTAGCTCTGAATAAAACTTGCTGTGCATAAAATTATTCTTATTTAACAACCATGGCATTGCCATTACCATCAGCATTGGAAACCTTGTTTAAGTATGTTTTATTTTATTCTTTGAAATATTTCTTATTTTATTTTTTATTTTACATAAACGTATATTTGTAGGAACAGACTTTAAATAAACTTTTTAACTACATCCTTTGTTCTTAAACTTTTACAGATTTATAGATGATAATAAGCAGGAATATATAAATAATTTAAGAGAAGCAGTAGCTATTAAATCTGTATCAGCATGGCCGGATCACAGAAATGAGATAGTGAAAATGATGAAATGGGCGGAAACAAAATTGAAAAATCTTGGTGCAACCACAGAATTGGTTGACGTAGGAAAACAAGCTTTGCCTAATGGTAGTGAAATTCCACTGCCTCCTGTGTTGCTTGGAAGCCTTGGATCTGATCTTAAGAAGAAAACTGTACTTTTATATGGACATCTGGATGTGCAGCCTGCATTAAAGGAAGATGGCTGGGATACTGAACCTTTCACTCTTACTGAAAAAGATGGAAAACTTTATGGCCGAGGCAGTACTGATGATAAAGGTCCAGTTCTTTGTTGGATACATGCGTTGCAAGCTTATAAAGCAACTGGGATTGATATTCCTGTTAATCTCAAGGTATTTCTTAATAATATAATGAAAGTTTCTTGATTTTATATCAATGTATTTTACAATTAATTAATTTTATTTTGTTTAGTTTGTCTTTGAAGGAATGGAAGAAAGTGGAAGCGAGGGTTTAGATGAGCTCCTTTGGGCAAAGAAAGATAGCTTTTTAAAGAATGTAGATTATGTCTGCATATCTGACAATTACTGGCTGGGTACTAAAACACCGTGTATTACTTATGGTTTGCGAGGTATCTGCTATTTTACAGTAGAAGTTACTTGCGCTGTCAAGGACTTACATAGTGGTACCTTTGGTGGATGTGTGCATGAAGCCATGGCGGATCTTATTTACTTAATGAATACCTTGGTCGATGTTAATGGCCAAATCTTGGTGGATGGTCTTTATGAGAAGGTGGCTAAAGTGACAGACGTCGAATTAGCCTCTTATAAGAAAATAGATTTTGATGTGGATGAATTTAAAAATACAATTGGAGCTCAGCAATTGGCGCATAAAGAAGATAAGGTATATATTGTCACCATTTTTTATAATTTTAGAAACATGTTAACATTTTTACTCATGACAATTTCTGCAGATTCAACTTTTAATGCATCGCTGGAGACAACCTAGCTTGTCTCTTCATGGGATAGAGGGTGCTTTCAGTGAACCAGGAGCGAAAACGGTCATTCCTAGGAAAGTTATTGGTAAATTCTCAATTAGGATAGTGCCTCATATGACTCCGGATGAGACAACTAAAAAAGTGATTGCACACATAAATAAGAAATGGCAAGCCAGAGGTAGTCCGAATATCATGAATGTCAGCATGTTCCACGGTGGTAAACCGTGGTCTGAGAATCCCGACCATCCAAATTATATAGCCGGTCGAAAAGCTACTCAACATGTTTATAAAGTAGAGCCCGATCTTTCTCGCGAAGGCGGATCGATTCCAGTTACCCTGACATTCCAGGAAGTTACTGGCAAAAACGTATTACTTTTACCAGTTGGACAAGGCGACGACGGTGCGCATTCTCAAAATGAAAAATTGAACATACATAACTACATCCAAGGGGTAAGCACAATCATTGAAATTAGCAACTGTTTGAAAATCGACAAAAATAGATTTATACAATTTTCTTTACATTTTTTCAGACGAAATTACTTGGGGCTTATCTATACGAGGTAGCTCAGGTATAAATACTTTTTCTTGTGCGTTTGTATTGTATGGATTGTGACAGACTTACGTTATATTCCATTCTTTGGTCTTAAAAATTATTTTTAAACAACACATTATATTTCGTTTTTACGTTTTCATATATTTAGTATCAATATTTAGTATCTATTCCTTTTTTTGTATAATGTATAGATTAAAACAGGCTTAATTATATGATTTGGTATTAAAAATTTACATTTAGATGCATTAAATTTTATACTTACGTTTAATTTTATTTTTGCATGTATTTTTACATGATTCTTTTATTGCAAAAAGTTTTTTACATAGTAAACATGTAATTTTATAAAATTTTTATGTATTTCTAAAGATAATGTACAATATATATTCCTAAAAATATATATTCTTAATAAACTACATATTGAATAAAAAATTATTTTTATAAAACGCTATTTTATATAATATAATCACTTCTACTCTATTTTTAATACCCAAGCTGGTTGTCCTCTGTGTGCATCAGCAGGTAAATGTACTTCTAATTTATCAATAGATTCTTTCCACTAAAATTTACATATAAAAATATTTAGTTACAATCTTTTTAATATATTTAAACAATGAAAACAGCAAGATACTTACATGAATAATTGACGAATAGCCAAGTATATGTATTTCACTATTTGGTGAAATACTTTTAATCGAACCTAAGAACAACGTATTATTATCTGGCCATTCTAGAATTGAGGCATATAGTCGTTTTTCATCTTTACTTTGCGTATACCAAACGCTTCCTGTCAAAGTATCATTTTGCACAGTCCAAGGTTTAGTACTGAAAATGGCTTCTCCGTTAATCGTCAACCATGCTCCTGAAATAAACATTTTTATTTGTATATTCTATTAGATAATAAAAACGATTATAAAAATCCAATATTTATGTCGATTTAATCATTAATCAAACATATGATAAGATATAGCAGATAAATGTTTACCCATTCCACGCAATCTATCTTCAAATATTGGTGAAATAATGCCATCTTTTGTTGGTCCAACATTCATCAGTAAATTTCCATTACAACTTACAGTAATTATTAATTCTTTCACTAATCCTGCCAATGTATAGTATTCTGATAAAACAGCATTTCTGCGAAATCCCCAAGATTTTTTATCAATAGTCATACAATTTTCCCATTTGTGTGGGACAAGTACACCTAGAAAGCAAAATTATATTAATTTAAAAATGTATTTAATTTATATTTGATATTTATAGAAAATGTACTATATATTTAAGTTTTACTTACCAGGATTAAAACGATCAGTACATGTAAAGAAACCACCGTGATGGCATGGCATATTACTGCCCCATCTATCATTCACTACTACTGTGTCTTTTACTGGACTTTCATTATATAGCCATGCTAAAAATTCTTTTGATTTCCAATAAGAATCTGATGCTTCCCAATCTCCATCTGACCAGATTACTTCTGGTTTGTAAATTTCTATTAATTCCTGTAACTCTGGTAATATTTTTTGAGTTACAAATTTATTTGTTGTAAAATTATTTCTTTTGTCCGTTACATAAAGAGGATTATACCATTCATACATGGAATGATACAAACCAAATCTTATGTCTGTTTCACTTCGAATAGCTTTTGCCAGTTCACCTGTTTTACAAACAAAAAGAATATGTAAAAATTGCTGTATTTAATATAAAATTTTAATATTAAATCTATATATATCTATATTACCAACAAGATCCTTGTTTGGTCCCACATCCATAGAGTTCCAACTGAATGAATATGTTGATGGCCATAATGTATATCCTTCATGATGCTTGCTTGTTAGTACAATGTATTTTGCACCTGATGCTTTGAATATTTCTGCCCACTCAGATGCATTGAAGAATTCAGCAGTAAAATCATGTGCAAAGTCTTGATAGGTAAAATTTGGAGGGTATCTTTGTTTCATAAAATCATGATATTTTGTGCTTCCAGCTTCTTCTGCAATACAAAATACAAATACATACATATATACATATTACATTAATTTATTTTTCAATCCGAAAATTATAATAGTATTCAACCTTTCCAATTGTTCCAAAACCATTCAGAACCAAAGCTAGGTACACTGAATACACCCCAGTGAATAAAAATTCCAATCTTTGCATTATCATACCAGGATGGAAGCGGTCGATTATCTAGACTAGACCACGTTGGGACATATTTAGGTGTTTCTGTTAAGGATACAAAGTTATCCGTATCCTTTTTCGACACCAAATTCTCCTTCGCTGATACACAGATCAGCACAGTACACAAAACATTGAGAAATAGCATCATTTTGCCAGCGAGACTGGTACTGAAAGCACTGAGCGTTGGACGTGTCTTTTATTCTTACCCGCTGTATTAAATCTCGATGAAGATTTTATTTCTGTGTATCATTTGTATCATTCGTACATTGAGATTAGATTAAATCGATACCATACATTTTTTTAAGCAAAGATCACATTATCAACCGATGCTAGTAATTTGTTTATATATAATTCATACTTAACACTTTTAAAAAATATCTCAAATCATGATCTGAAAAGCCTAAGCATCCAAATCACATGGCCAACCGGCAAACTACATGTTTACTAACAAGTAGAACTCGATGTCTCTTACGTGTGACGTGTCGATATCAGTTACTTTGACTAGTAAAACCGTATTGCTTTTACCAACTGAGCAGGCTAAAGATGAGAATACATATATATTCTCAAAATAAAAAGTTGAATATACATATAACTACATTCATCTATCAGTAAAATTCAAAACTGCTTCTAATTCTCGTTATGTAAAAATTGATGTATTATATAATGTAACATTTTTTGCAGATGAATACTTGCAGTTTATTAATAGAAATTAACTTAAATATTATATATTTTGTATTTATGCGTTTATTATTAATACATCAATTGAGTCAAAATTATATATGGCAGTCCTTTTATTGCATTACACAATTTCTTTCTAAACAATACGTTATATTTTTATATTAATTGTTTTATTACAAAAAAATTTCATATATAAAAGGGTGATATTTTGTAAGATTTATATGCATTTTTAAACTTATTATACAATATAAGGAAAATAAGTATTTTTCGTCAAATATGTCTCTGAAAACTCATTTTTATAGAATACATCTTATATGTAATTATTTCTTAATCTTTAATACCCAAGCTGCCTGTCCTCTGTGTGCGTCAGCAGGCAAATTTACTTCTAATTTATCTCTGGATTGCTTCCACTAAAATTTAAATATAAAATTTGATTATAAATTTTGTAATATGTCTAAACAACAAAAACAGCAAAATACTTACAGGAATTATTGACGAATAGCCAAGTAATTGTATTTGAGTATTTGATGGAATACTTTTAACCGAACCTAAGAACAATGTATTATTATCCGGCCATTCTAGAATTGAGGCATATAGCTGGCTTTCATCTTTACTTTGCGTGTACCAAACACTCCCTGTCAAAGTATCATTTTGCGCAGTCCAAGGTTTAGTATTATAAATGGCTTCTCCGTTAATCGCCAACCAAGCGCCTGAAAAAAAAACATGTTGACATGTGTCTTCTAATTAAAGTTATCAATACATCAATATCTATAAAGCCAATATCTATAAAATCAAATCAATGGATCTAATCATTAATGAAAAATATGATAAGATACAACAGATAGATGTTTACCCAATCCACGCAATCTATCTTCAAATATTGGTGAAATAATGCCATCTTTTGTTGGTCCAACATTCACCAGTAAATTTCCATTGCAACTTACAGTGGTTATTAATTCTTTTACTAATCCTGCCGATGTAAAATAGTCGGATAAAATAGCATTTCTGCGGAATCCCCAAGAGTTTTTATCAATAGTCATACAATTTTCCCATTTGTGTGGAAGAAGTACACCTAGAAAGCAACACCTTATTAAATTAAGAATCTACATAATCTATATTTTATATTCATTAGTTTGTACCAATAGAGTATATTATAATTTTAAATTACCAGGATTGAAGCGATCATCACATGTATAAAAACCACCATGGTGGCATTGTATATTTTGGCCCCATCTATCGTTCACCACCACTGTATCTTTTATAGGACTTTCATTGTATAACCATGCTAAAAATTCCTTTGATTTCCAATAAGTGTCTGGTGCTTCTCCATCCCCATCTGACCATATTATATCTGGCTTGTAAATTTCTACTAATTCATGTAACTCTGGCATTGTTTTTTGAGTCACAAATGTATCTGTTGTAAAATTGTTTCTTTTATCAGCTACATAAAGAGGGTTGAACCATTCAAACATAGAATGGTATAAGCCAAACTTTAAGTTTGTTTTATTTCGAATTGCAAATTCCAGTTCACCTGTTTCAGCGAGAAAAAATTATAAGAATTTTTACACTTACTTAAAATTTTATTTTTATTAAATCTATATATTTATTTATATTACCAACAAGATTCTTATTAGGTCCCACATCCATAGAATTCCAACTAAATGAATATTTTGATGGCCATAATGTATATCCTTCATGATGCTTGCTTGTCAGTACAATATATTTTGCACCTGACGCTTTAAATATTTCAGCCCACTGAGATGCATCGAAGAATTCAGCAGTAAAATCACGTGCAAAGTCTTGATAAGTAAAGTTTGGAGGATATCTTTCTTTCATAAATTTATGAAATTTTCCATAAAAAATTTCATCTGGAAACATATATATATAATCATATAAATATCACATTAATCTAAAATTTTTGAATAATAGCATTTGAATAACATTTTACCTTTCCAATGTTTCCAGAACCACTCAGAGCTAAAACTAGGTACACTGAATACACCCCAGTGAATAAAGATTCCAAGTTTTGCATCATCGTACCAGGATGGAAGCGGTCGATTGTCTAGACTAGACCAAGTTGGAACATATTTGGGTGTTTCTGTCGAAAGCGGCACAAAATTATCTGTATTTGTTTTCGTTAAAACAAAATACTCGCTTGATACGCAGCCAATGAACAAAACACAGAAAATATGTAAAAACAGCATTATGCCTTCAAACGTTATACTGAAAGCAGAAAGCATCAAATGCGTCTTTTATTCTCTTATCCGCTGTTCTTAAATCTTGGCAGACTCTACTTCTGTGTATCATTTGTGTTACTCTATGTATATTGAGATTAGATTAAATCGATTACATATTTTTATAAACAAAGATCACATTATTGACTGATATTATTTTACTTATACATACATGCAATTGTAACACTTTAGCAGAATACTATAATTTTGTAAATAAATTGAAAGAGTAAAAATTTATTAATTATATATGCTGCTCATATATTTTTATAATTTTCAATAATTTAATTGCGTATAAAAATTTAAAGTTACTGCAATAGATTTTAGAATTAAAAAAATACAAAATAACATATTTCAAATTGACATTTTTGTAAACTTTATAATAAAATATTTAAAAATTTTATTAACATATAATTACAAATATTGAATTAACGTTTTTATTTCATAATGCTGATTCAATATGCAAGTATTTTTTCTTCATCGGCTATATACATATTATCTTTAACCAATAATAAATACTACCAACTGATCATGTGTTATCGGATGGTTTTATCTACATATTGGATTGTAATCAAAATATGATGCAATTTATAAGGATGCAGATGCAGATAAACGAAAAGCAATCGCTTATGTTATTGTTTTTGCAAAGTGACAATATATGCTCTACAGAACATGTCTACACACAGATGTTTAGTAAGTTAGAAATTACATGTATCTTTTATGCATAAGCAATTGTGTCGCACTATAATTTTATTTTGCGACTGAAGTATCACACGGTTTATCAAAGCGCAATTGACAGATCATAGATGCGTGCTGGTCAGCTGATCAAGAAACAAAAAATCAAACGCTTTGAAATTGAATACCAAAAGGACCGTTGCTGCTAGATGGCGTGTTGATCAAAAGAGCAAGGAGGGGTTATTGACAAGGCAGTTTCTGTCGTTTACCGGCGTTTTAGAACACGGTTTCCTTTCATTGAAAAATAAAATTATAATTCAACATGGCTTGGGTTCCTTTAGAATCGAATCCAGAGGTGAGCGATCTTTTTGTCGATGCATAATATGCATTCTGCAAGCAGTGATAAAATAATCATGTTCTGTGTTTTAGGTTATGACGAAGGTAAGCGGTTGCAACCAGATTTGAAACAGTCATTATCGTTATTTCCTTGACGTCTACAGTCTTGTACATGATACTGTATCGATTAGCAATATGCTTTTCGTGAAAAAAAATAGAAAATTTAAACAGATGTTTTTTTAACATAGTTCTTGGATATATAAAAGTTTAACATATAATTTCTATTTTTAGTTTCTCCACAAGTTGGGTGTTCCAAAGAAATGGTCGATTATCGATGTGTATGGTTTAGATCCGGATTTATTGGCGATTGTTCCTAGACCTATTCTTGCTGTTATTTTGCTGTATCCTACAAAAGTATGTATACAATATAATAATATATTAAAAGACTTTGTGCGACTTAACTATATAACATAAATCTATAATATAAATCTGTAAGTAAAATTTGCCTTACTTTGCCTCTAGGGTGAAAAGACAGAGGAAGAAAAAGAAAAAGAAAAAGAAAAAGAAAATGAAAACGAAAAAGAAAAAGTTCAGGAGGGCAAGGGTGATATTTCAGATTCTGTTTATCATATGAAGCAATCTATTTCAAACGCATGTGGAACAATTGCGTTACTCCATAGTGTAGCCAATAATTTGGATTCGTAAATATCTATAATTTGTATATAATCAAACATATAATACTGATAAACAATATACATGATTAATTTTTTTTATTATAGCATACAGTTGGAAGATGGATTTCTTAAGAAATTCCTCAATGAATCCAAAGGTCTTTCATATATTGAGCGTGGAGCGAATTTAGAAAGTGCGCAAGACATTATTGATACTCATATGGAATCTGCCCAAGAAGGACAGACTGAGGTATTTTACTAATAATTGAAAATGATAATTGTATCTTAAATTATGAATTATAAATTATAAAATTCTTAATAATAATCCTGTTTCTTTTTTTTTTAGGCACCAGGTGAAGATGTAGAGGTGTACCATCACTTTGTTGCGTTTGTACATAAGGATGGCACTTTGTATGAATTAGGTATATATTTAATTTGCATTAATTTTGGGAAGCTGTTAGATTTAAATGATATAATAACAAAAATTTTTAGACGGCCGAAAACCTGCCCCTATCAATCATGGCGCCACGTCACCTGATTCGCTTCTGAACGATGCTGCTCTTGTGTGCAAAGAATACATGGAGCGAGATCCTAACGAAATGCGTTTCACGGTGGTTGCACTCGCTGCCAGTGAATAAACTTCACAACTTTTCTTTTATAAACTACTTTATAAACTTTTATAAACATTTGCCTTTATGAACTTTATGAATAAGTTCCAATAATTTATTTTATGTAGTATTATTTGTATTTCGCTTCAGCTACGTATTTCTCTTGTCAAGTTTATTTGATTGCCAACTTTCGGCAATATGTACCAAGTCAATGAATGAAATTTATATATGCAGTTATTTATTGCACTGTTTCACTTTTATTAAAAGAATCCTACAATCCTACAACTCACTAAATTTGTGACACATCTATTGCAAGAAAGATCTGTCAGGTTTAATAATACCGATAAGTGCAAACATGTAGATATTTTCAGCCAAAAAATACGGTAAAAATGTGGAGCGACGCGAGAAAGACAGCATTTAAAACAAACTCCAGATACTGCGCGTCGGTCAAGGTCTCCGGGCTTTGCGCAACAAAGCGGACGACTGCCAGAACGAGTTTCAGTCTACAAGACAGAGTTGACGATAAATTAAGACCGATACATCCTCTCGTTTGGCACAGATCTGCGCGTTAATGTTTGGTGATATTCACTTTCGACTACTTTGTATTTTCGCGTATGTTTTCATTTTTATTATTAAAATTTTAACTGCATTTTGCGAGTGTTTATTGCTTACATATATTATGCAATGTGTGAAACAAGGTAAATATCAACATTTCTTATAAGATAAAATCAAAACATTTTTTAAAAATAAATTGGTAACGAAAACAACATGAATCATCAAACTTTTTAGAAGTAGTCATAAAAAATTTTTGCGCGCTTTCATTATTTATATCATTATTCTGAAATATTGCTTGGCATATAAAAATATGAGTAGATGCTTTTAAATAAGAAAATCCTCCTTTTTTCAAATTCGATAATCATTTTTTAAGTAGTTCTTTTTATACATAGTGCATGTACAGTATTATCTATAATAATTGACATAGAATTTGACAAGGAACCCCATAGCAGTGCTAATTTAATTTTAAAAAAGAAGTGATGATTTATGTTTTCTTTGTAACAATTGATTTAAATGCTCTTCGACTGACAATTCGTACATTTATGTTTGACAAAAAGAATTTTGATATTTCAACACTTGTACTTACAATACTCTTATCAGAAGTATAAGTTTAGGAAAGTTTTGGATCGATGTATAGATGTATAGATGTATAGATTATCGAAATATTTATTTGCTAATCAAATAATTCACATTTTGTTTCAAGATCAAATAACTCACATTTTGTTTCAAGAACTTTTTATTTCAAGTACTAATCTTTATAACATACTTTTTCGATGTTATTACGTGACCATTTATTGTACGTGTAGTAACACGCTATTGTTTCGCATATTATCAGGAATTGCAAAACGCGACGGTCACTGACCAGCTCGTGAAAGCATCATCTATTTTGGACTCTCTTCCGAGAGACTACACATCTTGGCACGATTCTCTAAATAGTGACTTTCAAATATAAAATAAATTTAAATTCCAGAAACGCGATCTACATTATATAATATGTCTGTTCAAAGAGAAGGATATTATTCAGAGATTTGGTTGCTGATAAATCGCGATTATCATTGCAAAATGTGAGAGTCACTCAGAATGTAAACTATTTCCCATAAATTAAAAAAATCTATATATATTTATATTATTAACATTTATATTAATGACATTCTATGCATTAATGAATATTCTATGCAATTTTACGCAGATAGATACAAAAAATGATTCTAGGTCTTGTCAATTATATGAACTTGTTTCTTAAGTAAAGTAAATCTTTGAATTATCTCGAGACCAATGATATACACGGAGCAGTCATTAAAGCTTTTTATTATACCATAAGAGCATTTTTATTGTTGTTGAAGGTACTTTACACTTATGCGTCATTCTAGTGGAAAATTTTATGAGTCTTGTCGTCTGCTGCGTGGAGTGGACCGGTTAGCATTGCTTATCGCAGACCGGTTGCAATAAATAAGTTATGCGATACATTTTTTATATTGCTGCAGAACGTAGTGAAAGCTTGTACGGTACATTTTCAACTTGCTGAAAATATTTATTAACAAAATTGAATTGCAAATTCCGTTGAACGAATTTAATCAGTCTGTCTGTTTTCCAAATTATCATGTGTATCGTAATCTTATTAGCTCATTCAATGTTAAATTCTTATCACTATGCTTCAAAGAGATTGGACGATACAATTAAGAAGATGTTGTTTCGAATCATTCAGATTATATCTGATAAATGATCTCCAAGTTTCGAATTCTCTGAAAAAATTGAGGAACGCAGAAAAACAGCTCTCAGATATCAAAACTCAAGATGCCGTTTAAAGACTTATCTGCTATCACGTTGCTTATCGAGTAACTCGAGGACTCGCTGTATCAGCCCTTCAAGAGAATTTATGCAAGATTTTTAACGAGGTTTCGTGTATATTGCGCAGCTCCTCGATAGAAAAGCTGTCAAGCGGCTGATAAGCGACCATAGAGCAAATTTACCAAACACACGACGGTATAACTCTAAATATGATGAAATTGTTTATGATGGCAATTCCGCAAAAGCTTTGTGATTAACCGCAACGCATGATCGCGATGTTTGTGTTTCATCAGGGATTAACAGATTTCGCAACGTAGAAAGCAAATGGAATCACGTAAATCGAATAAATCAGTCAATAAAAAATAAGTCAAAAGCAAATTCTATTATTTAATTTTTGCAGAAAAATAATTACGTTAAAAAGGAGATTTTAAATGTCTTTCCAGATTTATCATTTAATTATTTACTGGAACAGCTTTTATAAGAATGATGATACATTTAAGAAAAGCAGACGAAAATATACAATATATATATATATATATATATATATATATATATATATATATATATATATATATATATATATA